TCTATTTACATATAACTACTGTATTTCTGGAAAATATATACATTATTTTCCACAATTACTATATAAAAAATTATAATCCAAAAATTGAACTTAAACTTACTGTGGTTAGATCCCTGGACGAGTGGAAACGTTGGGCGTGTTTCCGTACACCTTCTGCCATTGTTCACCTAGTAAAAAGGAGGTATACATACCTGAATTCTAGCCAGGTGGTGTGGGAATAGGCCAGACACTAATGACTGTTATTGGGTTATCCTGGGTTACTAACCCTTAGGGTCAATAATCCGAACAGAAAAAATCTTCTGTAAGTAAATTTAGTTTGGTACAGTTACACATAAGCACAGTTGCATAAATTTGCGTGATTACAGTTATCACACATTAACATTTGAGTACATTACCTAGGATAACCCAAAACGGTCAGACGAAGTGACTTAATTTCCATTGGGGTCCTTGTTATATCTTAGTGAGTAAATAAATTACGGAACGGGTTGGGTTTGAACCCATATCAAGTGAGTCCTAATTTTTATAAATGGTTATAACTATGACCATAATTTTTAAAGGGGTGGACCGGTAAACCAAGGAAAGGCCTCGGTCAGATGACCAAAAGCTCCAACGGGGGGGTCATCTGACTGAGACCCGCGTCAGGAAACACTTTTGTTTCCTGACGAACCTTACCTAACCTAACCTAAGTCCTAAACCTCACTTGCCATGGGGTTAAGTCCTACCCGTTCCGTGATTTGTTTGCAATCGTGTTATTACGATTTAATGAGTCTTACTAATTTTATTTAGATAAGGCACACATGAGTACAGTTATACATGTTTAAGTGTAAATTGCCTAGGCTAACCCAGTCAGACAAAGTGACTTAGCTATAATTAGTTTTTAGCTTAATAGTTTTATTATGCACACAATAACAGGAAAAGTCGGTCGATGGATCTATAATTTCCTCACTAACAGAACACAGAGAGTAGTCGTCAACAGAGTAAAGTCCGAGGCAGCTACGGTGAAAAGCTCTGTTCCACAAGGCACAGTACTCGCTCCCATCTTGTTCCTCATCCTCATATCCGACATAGACAAGGATGTCAGCCACAGCACCGTGTCTTCCTTTGCAGATGACACCCGAATCTGCATGACAGTGTCTTCCATTGCAGACACTGCAAAGCTCCAGGCGGACATCAACCAAATCTTTCAGTGGGCTGCAGAAAACAATATGAAGTTCAACGATGAGAAATTTCAATTACTCAGATATGGTAAACATGAGGAAATTAAATCTTCATCAGAGTACAAAACAAATTCTGGCCACAAAATAGAGCGAAACACCAACGTCAAAGACCTGGGAGTGATCATGTCGGAGGATCTCACCTTCAAGGACCATAACATTGTATCAATCGCATCTGCTAGAAAAATGACAGGATGGATAATGAGAACCTTCAAAACTAGGGAGGCCAAGCCCATGATGACACTCTTCAGGTCACTTGTTCTATCTAGGCTGGAATATTGCTGCACACTAACATCGCCTTTCAAGGCAGGTGAAATTGCCGACCTAGAAAATGTACAGATAACTTTCACGGCGCGCATAACGGAGATAAAACACCTCAATTATTGGGAGCGCTTGAGGTTCCTAAACCTGTATTCCCTGGAACGCAGGAGGGAGAGATACATGATTATATACACCTGGAAAATCCTAGAGGGACTAGTACCGAACTTGCACACGAAAATCACTCACTACGAAAGCAAAAGACTTGGCAGACGATGCACCATCCCCCCAATGAAAAGCAGGGGTGTCACTAGCACGTTAAGAGACCATACAATAAGTGTCAGGGGCCCGAGACTGTTCAACTGCCTCCCAGCACACATAAGGGGGATTACCAACAGACCCCTGGCAGTCTTCAAGCTGGCACTGGACAAGTACCTAAAGTCAGTTCCGGATCAGCCGGGCTGTGGCTCGTACGTTGGTTTACGTGCAGCCAGCAGCAACAGCCTGGTTGATCAGGCTCTGATCCACCAGGAGGCCTGGTCACAGACCGGGCCGCGGGGGCGTTGACCCCCGGAACTCTCTCCAGGTAAACTCCAGGTATGCATACCAATACTGTGTGCGGTCTTCAAGATTATTACAGAAGCACATAAGGGGTCGAGGGACTGGACGTAAAGTTCTGATAGCTAGCTAAACTAACTTAGTGGTAATGAACAAGTGTCCTTGTTTGCAGATGATGTGAAGTTAATGAGGAGAATTAAATCTGATGAGGACCAGGCAGGACTTCAAAGAGACCTGGACAGACTGGACACCTGGTCCAGCAAATGGCTTCTCGAATTTAATCCTGCCAAATGCAAAGTCATGAAGATAGGGGAAGGGCACAGAAGACCACAGACAGAGTATAGGCTAGGTGGCCAAAGACTGCAAACCTCACTCAAGGAGAAAGATCTTGGGGTGAGTATAACGCCGAGCATGTCTCCGGAAGCACACATCAATCAGATAACTGCTGCAGCATATGGGCGCCTGGCAAACCTGAGAACAGCATTCCGATACCTTAGTAAGGAATCATTCAAGACACTGTACACCGTGTATGTCAGGCCCATACTGGAGTATGCAGCACCTGTTTGGAACCCGCACTTGATAAAGCACGTCAAGAAACTAGAGAAAGTACAAAGGTTTGCGACAAGGTTAGTTCCAGAGCTAAGGGGAATGTCCTATGAAGAAATATTAAGGGAAATCGGCCTGACGACACTGGAGGACAGGAGGGTCAGGGGAGACATGATAACGACATATAAAATACTGCGTGGAATAGACAAGGTGGACAAAGACAGGATGTTCCAGGGAGGGGACACAGAAACAAGAGGCCACAATTGGAAGTTGAAGACACAAATTAGTCAGAGAGATAGTAGGAAGTATTTCTTCAGTCATAGAGTTGTAAGACAGTGGAATAGCCTAGAAAATGACGTAGTGGAGACAGGAACCATACACAGTTTTAAGACGAGGTTTGATAAAGCTCATGGAGCGGGGAGAGAGAGGGCCTAGTAGCAACCGGTGAAGAGGCGGGGCCAGGAGCTAGGACTCGACCCCTGCAACCACAAATAGGTGAGTACAAATAGGTGAGTACACACACACACACACACACACACACACACACACAGGAGCTAGAACTCGACCCCTGCAACCTCAACTAGGTGAGCACACACACACACACACACACCAGTGAAGAGGCGGGGCCAGGAGCTTAGACCCGACCCCTGCAACCTCAACTAGGTGAGTACAACTAGGTGAGTACACACACACGGGGCCAGGAGCTAAGAATCGACCCCTGCAACCACAAATAGGTGAGTACACACGCGCGCACATACAAAGGTGATTATGCGTTATTTACAGTGGGCAAAGTCAGGGTATTTTTCCATAAAGGTTGGTAATATACCACTGCGGATAAAATACTTTGACATTTCTTTAACTTTACTGAGTAGTCTCCGAATTCGCTAATTTTATCTCATTCCAGTAATGACCCACGGTGTGACAATTGTCCATTAGGCAAAGTTTACAGTTAGATGGGTAACTCAGCTGCGTGAAAATCAATTACAATAAAAGAGGTAGATTTGGTTTTAGATTTTGCCACCGAAGTGGCTAGTTTATTGTGCACCCCATATCCATCCTGTGGACGGTAGCGCGAGAGCATGTGGATACACAAATGGCCTAGGAACTAGGCCCCAAAGGGTTAACAGGAATACATATGGATTTATATCTATATATCTATAGTTCACTTATCTGTTACAAGCAAATTTAGGAAATTTGCTTAGTATATCTGGTATCTTATTTTCATTAATAAGATATCTTGACATGTCACATAGGTTATTATACTGTCTGTCTCTGTATTCCTCAATAAGCTCAATAAGTGGACAATTAAGCACATAGTGTTCAAGAGAGTGACCATATGCCTGATCACATAATTTACATTTAGTTTGATCATCACCTGTGTGTCTCCCAAACTGCCAGAAGTACTTGTAACCAAGCCTAAGCCTGGCCACTACAACATCAGTCAGTCTGTTCACATTGCAAGTAGCTCCATAAATATACTTATCTACGTTCATGTTATCATAGTGGGTTATAGATCTACTCAGGCTTCTAACTGCATTCCTATAACAATCATTTTCATTATTTACTTCTCTCCTAATATTATTCCTAATGCTAGACACAGATATACCAAAGTTATATTCTACATTCTCCTTCTGGATACTCTTCTTGGCTAACATATCAACTTTATCATGAAGGAGTAATCCAATGTGTGATGGGATCCATAGCAATTGTACATTAATTCCTTTGTCCCTAATTTTTGAGTATCTATACCTGGCTTCCCCAATGAGCATGTTGTTGGAGTCATTATATGAGCCAAGAGCCTTCAATGATGACATAGAATCAGTAATGATGATAGTCAAGCTCAGTGTCATAGGTTAGCTTTAGCGCCATTAGGATTGCAAACAATTCAGTTTGCAGTGTAGACGCCCAGTTGTTAATTCTTATGCCTAACTCAACAAATTTATTATCGTTCTTAACTAGGGAGGTGGCAACAAGAGCAGATGCAGCCCTGCCAGAAGACTCCTGTTTAGATCCATCAGTGTATATAACTTGTGGTAACTTGTTACTACCAGCTAGGTGAGAAATTTCTTCTTGAGCAGTTGCTCTAACAAGAGATTTAAGGAAGGGATTACTAGCAATGAGCTTCTTGGGAGGGACTTGTAGGTATGTGATATTAAATGAACACAATAGGAATAAAGTGAACTAAGTTATATACATGAACATTGAATAAAGAAAATCAGCTTATAATATAATAAGTACACGAATGTTAACTGTACAGGAAATCACTCTCCTCTTTGTTCTTCTTTCATTTTTTAGTTGTTTGAAGTTTGTTTTTATTTTTTGATGCTATTGTTATTCCTTTCTCCAAAGGCATAACAGTCAGGAATAAATCTTAAGGTTTCAGCTGCGGGTTACCAACACAGCTTACACTGAGGTACACATTACTCGGTATTATACACTGAGAGTCAGTCAGAGTTTACTTTAATAATTATTTTTGGATCAAATTGTTCTAGACTGTTGGTGCCCAGTGAAATATAGCCTTAATGACCTAAATTAAGACAGCCGTCAAAATGAAAAATAAGGACACGGGACAGTGAACTCTTTATTCAGGTTAACTACATTTGAGTTTGCAGACTAATGTAGATTAATAGATAGGAGATTGTATGACGTTTGTAGGTTTAGCGCTTAATTTTTATTTAAAAATAATAATAATAGGAAAGTAGTATCTGGGCCGCTGCTCTGGATGATCATTGTATTTCTGTATATACGCTGTCATGTGTTGTAAGGTTATAGTATTCTTCCCTTAGTATTATATTTACTCAAAAGACCAGAGTTAATTAATGGCCTTTAGTGGAAGAAATACCAAGAGCAGAGAGTTTACACGGACACAAGGCAGCTGATGGTTGACACATGGGGCCCAGGACAGTGTCAACAACCAAGGTGGAGGTTAGTTTATATTTAGTCTTTGCGTACATACCCGTCAAGAAAGGCTCCTTGATGCCGGTGAAGGGTTCCCCTGGATTGAACCTGTATGACTCCCTGCATCATCCCCTTCCCAAGTTGTGTATGACCCGTACGGCTTGTAGCACCTTCCTATCATCCAAGGAATTCATCCTGACCTCTTCCTTGGGTCGAGCCCGATTCTCTCTCTTCCAGTCACAGTATGATCCCTGTGTATATCATTATTAACACTGACAAGTTGACGAGTGATGTTACAAATGTATGATAATCATCAAAAGGACCCCTACAGGTTTAGTACTTCCCCTTGACCGACACAGTTTGTGAGCATATCCTCAGTGAAAGTTCACTGATGACAGTGAAGGGCTCTGGATTCAAGGAAGTGGAGCTGTTCTCCCCTTTGGATCAAACCTTGATTGTCTTCCATTACCCATGACACAGGGACCCTAATGGAAATAAATTGTGCTGTTTCAATGGTCAGTATTTACTTAGCTGGTGACAAAAAATATGGGTTATTATGTAAATTCACCCCTCAGGGAAGGTTCCTTGATGTTGGTGAGGGGCTCTTGATTTAGGGAATTGGATCTGTGCTCCAGTTCCCCGAATTAAGCCTGAATGCCTTCCACATTCCCCCCCCCAGGCGCTGTATAATCCTACGGGTTTAGTGCTTCCCTTTGATTATAATAATAATATGTAAATTCAACAATAAGTTGGTTGTGTAAGTTTATTTAGGTACAGGTACACATAAGTACAATTATCATACATAGTAACACTAAATTACCTAGGATAACCCCCCAAAAAGTCGAAGTTATTTCCATTGGGGCCCTGGAAGACATTTATATTTTGTCTAAAAGAAGAAAACTATTTTGATAATGCCAAGAAAAGATGCCTGCCTAGCCTAGATGAGTTAGCAAATACATTACATTATGTTAGGTTTGATTTATTTGAGCTAGGTTTCCTTTTGACCAAATGTTTCCTCCATAGACCCAAAATATAACTGTCTATATATCAGAACCCTGACTTTCGTTTGTACTTAACAATATTTTATTACATTTAAACTATATTTTGTATACTGCAGAAAGTTGTTTGTTTTACTAAAAATCAAGTAGCCAAAGTAAATATTAAACTAAACTCATTTTTTTTAAAGAATTTGTACACAAAGCTAAAATATCAATTGCAAAATCCACTTATTATATACACTGTAACCTATGAATTATGACAACACAAATAATAATTATTATTTATATTAGTCTGTTAAAGTAAAAATTTACCATTTGAATGTATTCAGTAATCCTAGGTTAAATCTGCATGATGCTCTTTTTATGTACCTATAGCAAGGGTAAAAGAGGTATGTGTTAGAGGCTTGAGCATCCAGAATGCCCATAAGTTGCACAGCAGTTTGGGCAAAACTTCTAGTCTTAAAATCTACATAGTTTTATTTTTTATTTTCGAAGGGTTTAATACAAGATAATTCATAAACAAAAATTATAATTGTCTTGTTATAAAAGGATGAGTGTATGTACTAGTTTATGAAGTTATACATAATTCAGAATAAGTAATCTGAAAATTGTTTCTGCAGATATGGATGTAGGGAGTTAAGGACAAGGATAATACTATGGAAAATTCTAGCTATAACAGCTGCATGTATGTCTGAAAGAAGGAATTGCAGCATATGCAATATGTGAGAATAGAAAGAAAAAAGGCAGAAACAGAGGGTGAGTAATGGGTGAAAACGTTCAGGTTTCACTCTTATTACTGTGCATACTATATATACAGGGCAGTCTACAAATATAAACCCAATCCTGAAACTCTTCCTGGAAAGCTACAACAGAACTCATAGGCATAATGCACTCTACAAATACCATTTTGATAGCTCTTGTTTATGAAACAACTTGATTTTTTTTATTATAATAATAATAAATCAACCTGAGTAAATACTCAACATGCATAAAAGGCCCCAGAATTCAGAAAACTGCCAGATGATTTCTAAAGGTTCCCTATATCTCCACCATTTCAAAACTACTGTTAAATAGCACCTCCTCACCTTAATATGATTCAAGACATGGGTATTCTTGTGTTCAAACATCTTCAATCCTGCTTGTTGAATTTTCATCCATTCATCTTCCTGTACTTCTTGTTCCTGCTATTTTATCTCTATTTCCATATACTGTACCATGTGTTTCACTCCATTTATTCAAGGATTGCTGTTGTACTAAGAATTATACGTAGAATGAGCCCTATATACTTAACTTCTCACTTCCATGTCTGCTGAAGTAAACTTCAGAGAAATATTTTGTATTGTATCTTAGGTTCATAAATTACATCTACTCACCCTTTTTCAACCAGACAAACAATTTTTTTTTTATTTTATGAAGTATGTTGTAACCATTATCTTTTTTAAAGCTTCCATTGATGCCATGGTATAGACTTTAAAAATAATAAATAAAACTATATAGTTCTTAAAACTAGGTTAAGTTTTGCCCAAAATGCTGTGTACTGTAGGGATTTTTGCTTATTGCATATTTTGTAAATATATTGATTGAAAATAATCTAAATTTATTTGCAATAATATCATGCTGTCATGAATTACATAAAGATAAGGCAATGCTTTTTAATAGTAGCTGTAAAGCTGTTGGCAGAAACAGCTTATGGCTCAGGTGATATCATTCCTCAATTCAATTCAGTTTTTATTTCCTTGCAAGATTGCATTGAAATTATGAAATTACAAAAATGAGTAATAGTGCAAAGAGAGCCACTATCATGACTAGGCATTATAGGCAGACTTAATTTAATGCCTTACAAACTGCTTAATACTAAAGAAATAGAACATAGTTTAAGTTGTACATTTTTTATTTATAGTACACAGTAATTTTACTCAAATTACAATAGTTTCAATAGTAAATATTGAAATTATATTATGGGAAAACAACAGTGTGAGTTGTTGAAAGTAGTTTACAGTATGAGAATGCTACAATTGGGTGTAAGGCAGTAATGTTTTGGGTAGGAATTTATATTACAAGGTAGTTTTAATCAATGTATGAAGTTTGGGCATCCCGTTTTGAAGTTTTAAGATTTAGGTATTTGGGAGATTGGTAAAGTTAAATAATGAGTATTTAGCTTAGGGTGAGTAAGTGGTTTTTGAGAAGAGTCTTAAATTGATGCTCAGACTGGGTTACTTTAACATTTACTGGTAATGAATTACAAATTTTGGGGCCTTTATGTGCATAGAGTTTTTACACATTGTGATATGGACATGGGGTACATCAGAAAGGGATCTGTGTCTTATGTTATGGTCATGTGACCTGTTAAAGTTGGTGAGGAGAAGTTTGAGTGGAGGGTTTATGTTTGAGTGTATGTAGTAGGCACATGAGTAAGTATGGATGTTCTTTATGGTGAACAGTTTTAGGCTTTTGAATTTTGAATATTGGTGGAGTATGCTGCCAGGAGTGGGAATTTGTTATTCTGACTGCAACCTTTTGCTGGATTATTAGTGGCCTTAGGTGATGTCCATGCACAAATCCTGTATGTGAAATAAGGGTAGATAAGTGAATGATACAGTGCAAGGAGAGCTGATTGCGGAACATAGTGCCGTATCTTTGATAGTATGCCTACTGTCTTAAAGATTTTCTTGGAAATTTGTTATATATGTGTCTGGAATTTGAGATTACTGTCATGGTGGATTCCTAGGAATTTTCTCTGTGAGTTTTGTGATGGGTAATCCTTTTAGCATTATGTTAGGTGGAACATTTGCAGCTCTGTTTCCAAACTGAATGAAATGGGTTTTGTCAGTAATGAGGGTAAGCTTATTAGTCATCATCCAGGTTGATATTTTCTGCAATTCGGCATTAACAGCGTTGGCCACTATGACTGGGTTTGGGTGAGAGAAGACTGCATGTAGTGTCATTTGCAAATAACATTGGTTTGAGTAGTTGTGATGCATTCGGTAGGTCATTGATCTAGATGAGAAAGAGGAGTGGCTAAGGACACTTCCTTGTGGAACACAGACTGTGATTGGTTGAGTGGAAGAGTTTGCTCCATTTGTGTACACATATTGGCTTCTGTTACTAAGGTATGACTTTAGGTAGTTAAGGGAGTGCCCTCTTATACCATAGTGTGTTAATTTATTGTGCAGTAAATCATTGTTGACAGCATCAAAAGCTTTATGTAAATCAGTGAAGATTCCCAGTGGGACTTCTTTCTTCTCGAGAACAGTGTATATTAGTTCTAGCATGTGTATAATAGTATCATTTGTACTTTTATTATTCTTGAATCCAAACTGACAGGGGTTTAGTATGTTGTGTGAGACACGATAGGAATACATGTCTATGAATTAATTTTTCAAAGATTTTAGAGATCAGAGGTAAGTTAGAAATTGGTTTATAGTTATTCAAGTCTGCTTAATTACCTCCTTTGTGAATCGGGGTGACCCTCGTTATTTAGAGAATTGCTGGGAAGTTGGAGGATTCGATGGATTTGTTAAAGAGTGTTGCAATTATTTGTGACAGTACTTGTGAAGCTTTTTTGTAAATAGAAGGTGGTAAGTTATTTATGTCTCCTGCCTTGTTTTTAAGGATGTTAATGATGAACAAGACTTCTGTTGGGTTGGTTGGGGCTAGGAATAGTGTATTTGGGTAGGTGCCCGTTAGGTAGTCTGATGGACGGGTGTTTGACATTGGGATTTTGCTCGCTAGATTCTTTTCTGTGGTGGAGAAGAAAACATTGAGTCTGTTTGCTGTTTCAGTTGGTGAGAGTAGGGGTTTGTCTGATTTTGTTAATTTGGTTGTTTTGTTTTTGGATATCTTTTTAGTTCCTAGAATTTCAGATAGGGTTTTCCAGGTCTTTTTCATATCACCTTGTATGTTATGTAATCTGTTTTCATAATACAGTGGACCCCCGGTTTACGATATTATTTCATTCCAGAAGTATGTTCAGGTGCCAGTACTGACCGAATTTGTTCCCATAAGGAATATTGTGAATTAGATTAGTCCATTTCAGACCCCCAAACATACACATACAAATGCACTTACATTAATACACTTACATAATTGGTCGCATTGGGAGCTGATCGTAAACCGGGGGTCCACTGTACAATTTTTTTGACCTTCTTATCAGGTTGGTAAGGATAGGTGCTTTGTCTTAATGGATTTAAGGATGCTGGATGTTAGCCAGGGACTGTTTAGTCTTTTAGCTGTGATCTGTTTAATTTTTTTTAGGGCAATGCTTGTTATAGAGGTAGTTTTTTTTTTTTTTTTTTTTTTTTTTTTTTTAGGAAATTATTAATACATTCATTCATGTCTGTATATGTTTCAAGCTCATTATGCCAGTTGACATTATTCATAGCTGTTATAAAGTTATTAACAGCTGTCTCGTTATGTAGTCTGAAGGTAACTTTAGTAGTGTCTTGGGGCAGTTTACCTACGTTGGTTATGAGAAAGGTTGGGTAGTGGTCTGTGGTGTTGTCTGTGATTATGCCTGATTTTAAAGAGGATATGGAGTTAGTCCAGATGTGGTCTAATAAGGAGATACTAGTCTTGGAGATTCTTGTAAGTCTTTTGTTATTGTTGGTAGCAACAAGCAGTTCCTCATAGTGTTTGTGAATTCAGTTACTTGTGAGTCCTGGTCATGTAGTAGATTTATGTTGAAATCTCCTGTGAGCAGTAAGTGGTCTTTGTTCATATGTGCATCAATTATCATATTTCCTAATTTTTCACTAAAATGGTTAATGTTTGACTGTGGTACTCTGTAGATGTTTATCACTGAGGGACTGGGAGTTCACTTCCCAGCACAGATGAAACTTGCCTGTTTTCTTACACTTACTGTCCCTGTTCACCTAGCAGTATGTAGGTTGGTGTTAGTTGGCTATTGTGGTCCTCACCCTGCGGCAGAAAATTAAAGTGAATAAGACGGACAGTCTCCAATGACACACAGATAGTATTGGGTTATTCTAGAAAGTTTACTTTCTGGGTCGAAAATCTGAACAATATATTATTTTAACCTTTGGAAACTTCAGACAGAGTTCCAAATTTTGGGGCCTTTTATACTCATTGAGTTTTTACTAAGTCATAAATGGGAGGATATCAAAGAGGTATTTGTATCTTGTATTATGCCTGTTGCAGCTTTCCAAGAACAATTTTGATAATTCAAATTCAAATTTTATTTCTTTTTATGCAGAGCAAATGTAATGTAGGTTTACATGTAATAAAACATTGTTAAACACAAAATAAAGCCACTAGTATGCAATGCATTTCAGACAAACTAATCCTAATACTGAAAGACTATGTACTTAAGAATTAAACAGACTAAGTAGAATTTCTGATGCAGTTAACTACAGTTATATACACAGTAAAAAAGATAGCTAATGGACCAGTGGTACAATTTTAACCCTTTGACTGTTTTGGTCGTATATATACGTCTTGAGAACCACCATTTTTGACGTATATATACTCATAAATTTTTTCTAACTGTTATAGGATTAAAATAAAAAAAAATTGGGTCAGTACTTACTGAGATATGAGGCTACAAAGTTGACTGTCGAAGGGCCAAATCCTGAAGTTGCTTCTGGTGTCGCAAAATATTCGAAAAAAAAAAATTATTTTTTCTTATGAAATGATAGAGAATCTTTTCCCGATTGTAAAGACACCAAAAAAACGAAATTTGATGGAAAACTGACGGAATTACGCTCTCGCGAAGTTAGCGACTTCGGCGATATTTAAAA